GGAAGAAATTATAGTCTGCAGAAATCCAAGGGGCTCAAAGTGTTAAAAAATAATTCTTAAATCTTGCATGTACAATTTCAATTGAATTAATAATCATTCAGACTTGCTTCTCATTGAGAAGCATTTTTGTGCTTCTGGTGCTGTTACTGTATCCTTTTGTCTTTTAATGATATACACAAAAGATTACTTTACATTAGTATGCTTCTGAACAACACCTAATATAGGTGTGTAGGCATGTGTGTTCACCATTTGAAAATTCTTATTATTTTACATAATATTAATGCACCAGGCCCACCCTCCCTTTTCTCTGCAGAGAGTGGAATGCCTGTTTTCATAACAAAAAGCCTTGTGAGTATTTACTGTGTTAGCCTGGCCAGGGTAGCTCATACAGACCATTGACCGTAATCCTCTGATGAACAATCTCAAATGTGAGTATGTATGAAAAGGCAGATGGTACCAAATATTTTTGCAGTTTAACTCCAACATGCAAACTCTCACTATCATGGGCTGGGGTGTGAACCTCTACTTTGTCATCCTTGCAGGTGGAACACGAACAGAAATTTAAGTGAGACATAACAGGAAGGATGGGTACTTGTGACTAACACTTGCCATTCATCATGCTTTAAGGATCTTATCTTTCACTTTTTGTCTTTGTATCCCATCTTGTTGAAGAAAACCAATCACTAGCACTTGGGTCCAAGTTCAAGATTTTGGTAGTCCTTTATTTCTTTGTGATGACAAAACCAGCTTACTGCCCTGTTTTACAGTAATGCAGTTCATAGAGGCATGATGATAGACAGGGAACAGTGCAGATTCCTCCTCTGACCCTATTGCTGAATTGTTGTATAATGCTCCCATCAGCTGTACTGCAGGTGCTGGGGAAAACACATCACAATGTGTGTGAGGCACATGAGGAATGTGCACTGCAGAAAAGCCTGACTCCCTTTTATTGAACTGTAGGGTGTTTGTAAGTGTGGGCAGTGCAGGAAAGCTGAGTCAGCCAGATCTGGATTTGCAGCATTATTGAGGACACAGTAACTTCATTTGGAGTTGTGGGCGTTTAATAACTTTGAAAATAGAACTGCATTAAATGCTATTTGAGGTGTGAGGCACTTATGGCTGCTGAAAGAAAACCTGAAGAAATTACATTTTGTATCTAGAGATGAGGAGGAAAAATTGCCTTCTCTGTCTTCTTTGAAAGTCTGTTTTTCATCAGTGTGTCAGAATGCTCACTCTGAGCACAATTCAGTTTGCCTGTGAGAGAGATGGGAGGGTGTTTAAGTGATATTGGATAAAATGCTGCAGGTCACTGGGTGTTAAGAGGGGTTGGATACTGAATCAAGTAACTGAAGCCTAAGGAGAGGCCCACCTTCCGCTTCTATTTTGGTTGTGTTCAAAATCTCCCAACAAAGGGTTCCAGTGGCTAATGTAACATAACCTGAGGTGTCATTTAATTATTCTTAACAGTGGGCATGCAGTTGTTGTGGTCACTCTCATCTTTAGTGACAGGACAGGTATTAATCACTGCTGCTCATATTGGCTGTACTGGCTTAAGCTGAGTCTCCATGTTTTTGTTCTTATGCAGTTTGCTTTAGGGAATAGGTGGAATACTACCTGTACAGGAGTGTCTTGCATCCCCTGTAAAACCCCCTGGCCTGTACTTTGGTTAGGGTATTGTAAATCCTGTTTCTAGCCATCTGTGACTCTCCAGAGAGCAAAAATATGATGGGATTTTGTATGTTTCAGCCTAAACTACTCTAGATAACATCTTGTTGTGACAGGTGTTATCAGAATGGTAAGAGATATCCATTGGCAAGACCTGGACAACCAGCAGTGCCATGGGGCACTGGGCAAGCACATTGTGGTGAAGGCTGACTGTGCTAAGGGTAAACTGTGTAATTAACTGGAAGTATATGTAGGGCTTCTTGATGCACTGTAGTTTGCTGTCAGGCATTTTCCTGAAGCACAGCACGCTTGTTTAGGCCATTGTTAGTGGTTATCAGCCAGTTCTTGATGTGGATAAACCCATGGTGAGAACTAGTCATAGCCAGAAGAGTGACCAGTTATCAGGTACTGCTAGGATCTTGGTGACCAGTTCCTGAAAATGCTCATATTTATTTCCATGTCTTTTTTTGTTTCAATTTTTTTTTTTGCAGAGAGAAATTATCCATAATGCAGTAAATGAGCCATGAGCAACCTCAATTCCTCCCCTCTTTGGCAGGAAGTCAGCAGCCAAGGCTATAAACTAGTGTTTGAACAGTTTGTTCAAATGCTTTGTTTACCTCTCTTCACTCAGTCAGGAGCTTTTGTAACTTGTATGAAGGATCCCTCAGGCTGGGACAGCTGTGGGCCTGAGCGGCTGAGAAGCATTTGTTGAAGATATTTAGGGGGAGATAAATGACAGGAGAAATTACTCAGGTTTTGTGTACATCTTTAGGTTTAGAGGTGCAGAGTGAAACCAGGAGTGACTTCTGACCCAATGGGAGAAACACAGTGCACAGGAAACCATCTGAAGTGAGTGTCTGTCTCTCTTGGGTGGGACAGGCTGTTCTCATCTCACTGTAATGCACTCTGCTGCCTCTGCTTAGTCCCAGGCTTATAGCACTGTGCTGGGCCATGTGAACATGCCCTGTGTTTTTCACAGTCCATCTGTAAGTTTTTCACTGTCTGAAAGGTTTCAGTGACTTTGTTACCTTGCATTTATTCAGTGGGGCTCTAGAGGACAGCTTTGGCTGCTGCTCAGGAGAAAGGCCCCATTTGTCTCAGGGCTTGAATACTATTTACCAATGTTATGTTCTCTAAGTCATGATACTAAACTTTATCCATCACTACTTCTCAGTAATCAATACGAAAAGCATGCACAAACCTAAGCAGAGATGTGTAACTGTCCAACAGAATGAAGAAACAGTTCTGCTGCTTTCTACTCCCACATTAGAAAGTTTGTAGTAAGAGCAAGTCAAAAGTCGATCTGCGAATGGACTAAGAGCCAAAGTCTGAGATGAGTTCCTGATGTATCTTTCCTTTAAGCCAAAGGGACTCAGTCCCCAACCAAATGTCTTTAGCTGTTATTTGTTAGTTTATTACAGTCTTTTTATGTAAGCCATAATGTGCTTCAGTAGGCAGACATGAAGAACACTCCTCAAACCATGAACTTCAGAAAATGCACATCTCAAACTAATTTTACTGTATGCCCCATCATTCTTCTGCTACTGGGAGCAGCAAGCAGTCATTCCATCTCTCATGCCCTGTATCCCTGGTTCAATAAGGCTGTCTCTGTTCTCCTCACCAGCCACCCTTCTGAGCCAACTCTTGCCTTCATTTCCTCCCTACTGTGTTCAAGCTTCTCCCTGTGTTTGATCATCTCTGTGGCCCTTTTCTAGTTTTCCCTCTCTGAGTTGGAATGACCCAAACTATGCACCCTGTTCACTATGTCTGAATAAATGGTTTCAAATGGTGTGACTGTGTCACACTCCTTTTTTAGTGCTTTTTTAGCATTCTGCTGAGATTTGTCTTTGTGACCCCGCTGACAATGGAGCTGGTGATTGCAAGACCTACCCAGGCTTCTTTCCTGATAAAGAGATAATTGCACATTCAGAGGCTGTCACTGTTGTTACATACTTAGAGATAATTTTGTGCCCAGACACATTATTTTGCACTTATCAGTGCAAACATTTTGTCATCTTCTCACTTTATATTATGTGTACCTAAGATGTGAGTCTTAGCTGTCAGCATTAGATGTTATTATTCTGCATAATTTTGTCATGGCATTATTCAGTGCTCTGTCAGGTAGTTTGTGACCAGATTGAACCTCATGAAGTCCCAAAGCACTTCTCTGAATGGGATCCTGCTGGTTAACTGCTGACAAAATGACATTTATTCCCTCTCTCTAGACATGAGAGGAATGTTCCTTCACCCACTGATTGTTTAGCTTGCAGGATTGTACCATTTACCCTTTTGTATCTCATAAACAACTGGTTTCCCTTTTAAGTATGTTGGAAGGCATCAAAAGGATGGATCAGCTTTTTCTTTGGTTAATTTCAAAAACCCTTTCACTGTCAGTGCTTGGAAATGAACCATATGATCCCTGTAAGTATCAATTAGGTTTGCTTTTTTTGTGCACAAAATCTCTCCTAATCTGTGTCATGCACATATTTTTTTACAAATGGACAATTCTGAGACACATCTTGTAATAACAGGCAATATCAACTGACAGTTTTTCATCCCATAGGCAATATGAGCAACACAAGCAAATACAAATGTTTAAAATGGACATTTCTGAGAGTTTAAAATACATATAAATTCTGATAATTATGAAAGTGAGTTTTTAATTGCTCAGACTCTTGAATCATTGATTCAGGGATTGCTGTCTTATGTGGAACTTAGGAGAATTTAATGGAAGATGTGAAGTTAATTTTTTTTCTTATGACATTTTTGTCATAAGAATCTGACTCATACCTCCCTTTAGCTTTTGCTCAATGTTCAACAAAGAGATGGATGTTTTTTATGAGGGACTATAAGCTTTTGATTGTCCTGCTAAGCAGCAGCTGCAAAATCCGATGCAGTTTAGTGTGTGACAAAGCTGAATGTCATGCAGTAACTCATTTGAATAGGAGCCAAGCCAATATTCCTTACTGGGGAAACATGCTCACTAAAATGTTTTTATGGAACTAGGATGTCAGATTCATGATGGAAATTTGGAAATGCCTGTTTTGGGTGCACTGAAAATGAGTAGTTCAGATGAACAAGCTATTTATGCAGACATGTGGTCAATACTGGATACTGGTTTAATCTTCTAGTAATCCAGACATTACCATATGGACAACCTGCACAGATTGATCTGATGAGGCCTCACTGGACAAATGAATATCCTGCATCAGTTAATTTGCTGAGCTTTTATGTTAGCTTTTATCAGGAGAAAAAAAAATGCTTTCCAGCACATAGTTTATTCACAGTGGCATATAAAATGAGACTGATGACAATCGACACAGGTTTAAGGCAGCTTGTTTGACAAGCAGCTCATGATGGTTTGGACAGTTATCTGGAGGGCTTTTTTTCTATACTTCATTGTTTGTAGCCAATGCACAGCCTTTCCAATGTGGAACCACCTTTGCACAACATATCAGAGAATGCACTCAGTTTTCTCTTGAATTTTGCTTTCAGTGATGTACCTGCAGTAATTTTAATACCATAAGGGGTTATTTAGTTTTGTTATCAACCTCTGCTTTCTCAATCTTCTGTCCTGTGAGGAACTGCCATATTCCTCCTCTGTAGTTCTCATTTCCCAGGGCATATACAAAGGCATCCACCGTTGGCACAGTCTTGGCAATTAGGGCAGGGATCTGTCATGAGACACAATATTTATTACTAGGAAAACACCAAAAAGGCCAGTGGGCTGATGTCAGCCTATGTTGTTTCCCTTTACCAAAAAAAGGCCTGTCTCCAATAGTATTAGTTTGCTACTCCCAGACAGGGGAGAAGTAAAAGCAATTTGACTGGTGGGAAGTCCTACTCAGGAAATTATAGCTTCCAGGAGAAAGAGTTTAGGTTGACATTGCCTGAAACAGGGATCATTCAGTTGAGAGTGAATACCAACACTTAGGAGGAGTGAAAGGTGTGCCATGGACATCTTTGGATGGATAAACAGGCTGATGTTGCTAACACATTTAATGTGGGATACTGAACACAGTAATGCATTCAGTGACCTGAAACTGGGCTGATTTTGGGGCACGGAATGAAAGTTGAAAGGTTTGAGATGATATTACTGAGTTCCAGCGGTGGCTATGGAGCCAAGATTCGTAGATGAAAGGGGAAAAGCTTTAGGACCTTAGGAGTGATAAATTACAGCTTCCTTGAGGAGAGAGTGTTAGAAACATGAATGAGGCAACCAGTCTCTTTAAAACTGAAAATCCTCAGCTAGTACCTCACTCCGGGAAAGACACAAAACGTTCCTACATGACACAGAACAGTACAGGTTACACAGCCCTAAATAACTGCTGAAGAAATATACCCCTGACTTCCTAAATTTCTGCTTGATCAAAGCAATAATGCAATGCCTGTTATATCACTGTGCTTAACTGTTTTCACTAAAAATGGTAGACAATCAGAATGCTGTGAGGAAAAGGACTACTTCTTATATCTGTTTTTACCAGTCAATCCAGTAGTGATTAAATTGGCAATGTTGCACAGAGACAGAGAGAGGGGGGTGAGGAGAATGTCACTTTGGGGTTTGGGGTGGCATGGACTTACCATGCGGTATTTTGGTGGAATGAACATCACATTTTCCACTGCTGCATAGGAGCACAGGAGGCAATAGGGACCCCAGCAAATGACCAGTGTTTTCAGTGGCAAACCAGTGTTAAACTGGAAAACAAGAGCAATAGGTTTGTGTTTCACAATCACACACTGCAACAAATGGATGGGAGAGGTGCTGTGGGATTGTGGTTTGTGCTCAGTAGCAGGAGAGGATCAGCCAACAGGATATGGGACAGAACAGTGCAGCAGCACCAAAGCCTTGATCCTGGGCGTGGGTGGGGAATGACAGAGGTGGCAAAACACCTTATGGTAGATCAGATAAATCTGTGTGTGTGCTGGATATAGAAGCCATGGCCAGTAACTTCTGAGGGGAGAGAGCAATTGAAAATGTAAGTGAAATTGAAGCTATTGAAAATTAAGTGAAAATTTAAGTGAAAATTTAAAAACAGATTAAAAGGAATTATATTTCGCTGACTTTCTAGATGGTCTTGCAGACAAACTATATGAAGCCACTGCTATGCTGGTGCAACAAATGGATGCAGTAGCTGTGTTGTAGTAGGAACATATCTCTGTCCTTTATGCTAGGACCTATCCATGGTGTCCATGGCCAGCTGTTCCCCAACATGTTATAAATATTAATGATTAAGGAAGTGATGATTTCATCCTTAAATTTCCTGCATTGTAACTTGTCTGCACAGCTACAGAGAATTGTGAGAAAGAAATCACATGCTAGTGCATATAAACTCACTGGAAAAAAGTAATAGACATAATAATGAATACAGAGATTTATCCAAGAAATACATAGAGGGCACAAGTATTTATTCCAGTCAGCTACAAACAAGTCTGCCTGACTGTCTCTGTCAATATAACATTTCTCTTGGGATCTGACTGTCTTTACTGAGTGCAGGGGTTGGGCTGTGCCCCCAGTCATGCATAGTGCCCCAGCCTGCACCTCAACAAACAACTCATATAATCACCACATTAGATTCCCATAAACCTGCCACACTGGAGCAATTCCTTTGTTTCCAGCTCATAAAGGTTTCTGACTTTCCTCAGCCAAGTGTTAATACAATGTGTATGGGAAGGCCCTTCTCCCCCCATGGGGTGCCTGCATGTTTTTTTGTAGAACTGTAGTTCTGTCTGAGTTTCTCAGCCATAAGCAAAGACCTGTAGCAAAGCAGGAAATAACAATCCTTCCTTAGATAAATTTCCCTGGATAAAAATTGATATGCTATTGGTAAATATTCTGTATACTCTGTGTTCGTTTTTTGAGGAGAGTCGGACCAGTGTTGATGGAGGGAAATCTTCAGAAACACTGGTCCAACTTCCCCTTTGATGGGGAACTGTTTACAGCATTAGGCTGGGGCAAATGTGGCCATCTGGTAAAATGCTGATATTTCCAAGGATGGTGTTCCATGAACTTTCTGAATGGCCCCATCCTGTGTTGTACTCCCCTCCTACTCAAGTAGCACTGGGGAGTTAGGACAGAAGGAGCTGAGTCAAAGTCTTTGTGAAAGAAATTGGTTTTATTTCAAGGACTTTGTCTCTACTGAATGCAGCCCTATTTTGTCACAGTGACTGCAGGGGTTCAGGGAGCTTTCTTACCTTAAAGTGCCCAGTTTTCCTGAACTTTTGGTGTATGGACTGATAGGCCGTCAGCATGATGAAGCCTGGGATCATGAAATTGAAAGTGGACAGAGCAAAAAGGAATGTGACATAGTTTCTGGAAAAGGTGAGGAGAGAAGAAAAAAAGAGGGTGTTAATTCAAGTCTAGTACATCTGTGTAAACTTGCTGTAAGTATTTACCAGATTGTAATTTAAAAATTGCTAAAACCACTTCTGTCAACGTGCTTCAGGTGCAGCATTTGCTGAAAGCCAGTTGAGCTGTGCTATTGTGTGTGGGATGGATAGTCTTGTAGAAAATCACAACAGGTATTTGTATTCTAAACCCAAACACCACTACTCAGACATCTGTGCTGGCCCACATAAAGCCAAAAGCTTTATGAAAATATTATTAAACTATTATGAAAATATTATGAAACTATTCTGAAAGAGTTTCAAGCCCTAAACCCAGAAAAGATGCAGCATATAGATGAGTGAGGGAGTGGCAGAAAGCTGAGCACCAGGCTCTCCCACAGAGGAAGCTGTTCCATGTGCCACCAGGCAGCCTGGGGTGGTGCCTGCCCTGTCCCAGCTGCTGGGGAGGGACATCTGCCCCAGGAACAGTGCTGGGCACAGCTGGGCGGGCTTGTGTGCCACCAAGGCCATCCTAGGGGATGGCAGCCTCCACTCTGCTCCTGTGGGAGCTGGCCCTGGCCCTCACCTGTCCCCTTTGCTGTAGTCCAGGGTGCAGCAGGTTCGGAGGGGTTCGTAGTCGTATTCTCCCCAGCCCAGTAAGGGCATCACAGACCAGAAGGCAGCAAAGAGCCATGCAAACACCATCATGGAGGCAGCTGTGCTCCACTGCAGCCTGCTCCCTGTGGGAAGAGGAAAGGGGGTCTCCATGCCCCGAACAAAACCACTGGAAACAGCTGTCAGGCCCTTGGGCCTCAGGCAGAAACAAGCAGTTGTTTGTACTTTGTATCCTGAAGCTGACCTGAGTCTGGAGGAATCAGTCTTCCATGAAATATGAAGGAAGCTTTTAGGAAACAGCAAACTGTACTTCCCTTTTTTTATGTCTTACTTAGACAAATGCTGTGTTGCTGCTCAGCTTTGTACCACAGCGGAGATACAGCTGCTGTTACAAACATTACATTCTTGTGTTTTGTAATGTGTTTAAAGACACAGATGAGGCAGCAAACACAATGAACGGGGTGATGCAATAAACAGTGTTTGAAGAAAGAGAGCCCATTGCAGAGTGTGGGTCAGGTCAGAAATGTGACTGCACTCACTCCCCAGCCCCTGCCTTCCTTCCTGCCAGGCCAGGAGGGTGTGGATATGTCATATACCCTGTTCTAAAGTTACTGGTCATCACAACCTGAGAACAGAGCTTATTCTAAAAATACTACTGGACAGGTAATTTTGCCCTTAAGATCATCACTTAGCCTATAACAGGAAATGTGAAGCTCAGCATTAGTAATTTTTTTCTAATTTTATAATAAAGCATTCCCTTGTGCCTGTCTCATCTGGTTCCACCAAATACTATTGGAATGTAATGGAAGATTGGAAACTTAAGACACAGGAAGTATTTCTTCATGGAGAAGGCAGGCAAGGCTTCCTTGCTGCTGCAAGATATTGTGCTAGCCTCACTGCTTGCATGTAAAAAGGTCTGGATAATTTTGTTACTGAGGCCAGTGTCTGTCATCATGCCCATGCTGAGCAGCCCATGACGCCAGCAGCACCAGCAAGGAGAACAGTGACTTTCCCCAGCACTCCTTTCTAATCCAATCTCCCATTAGGGACAAGTAATGATGTAATTTTCACTGAGGTTAGCAAGCAATCTTTTTGTGTGCCCTTGGACAGCAGCATCATGACAGCAGGCAGGAAGATTCAGGCCAATTCTGATCTGTCCCTCAGAGGTGAAGGACTGGGGATGAGGTGCATTTATTTTTAGACCTGGTGAAATCAGCTGCTGGTTGACCCTTCAGAAAATATTTACACACACATCAGAAGTAGTGAAAATTGTATGAATGTAAAATTAAACAAGCTTGAGATTATTTTAGTTTTACTCAGAAAAACACTTTCAGCACAAGAACAGTAAAAGAATCGTTCTGTCCTCACATGGCAAAAATGTCCTCCTCTGAGAAGGCTGAAAGCAAGAGCACAAGTTGAGAGCAGTTCAGTTGTTTTTGTGCACAGCAGGCCATTGCTTTACCTTAAATGCCTTTTCTTGGCCTGATAAAATTTAATGTAATAGCTGTGTAGGTCCTAATTCAATTAAATACATGTGCATGGGGTTCAGCATATGCTTACAGATATAATTCTTAATTAGGGCCCTTTGCTGGCAGTTTGGTCCTATTAACTCAAATCACTCTTGTGCTTTGGTTTTCTCTCTTTGAAAAGCAAAAGGGAAGCCTCTCTTTTCCACACAGTGAAATAATACAGGGAATTTAAAACGATTTCTCTAATTGCTTTGAAACAGAAAGACTGCTCTCTCATCATTTAAAGATTACTAAAATTGTGATGCCAAAAGATGAACTTTTAGCAAGTGCTAGACAGATCCTTTTGATCATGAAAGCCAGTTTTTAGTGATGTAATCATAACTGTATCTCAGGGTTTAGTTTTTGGAAACATTTATGAATGTATTTTTGTACGGTTTATGATTTTTTCAAACATTTAGCTGATTTTCACAGACTAAAAATTCATCTCTGACGCTGGGCTACCTTTCAGCTAGATTTCAGTCTGCTGTTCAAAAGGAGTGTCTGAAATAAAAGGTCAACAGGATTTTCTATAGTGAAGGGGAAAAATAGTCCCTTTTTCTCATTCTTACAAATGGTTAAGTTATAATAGCTGTATAATATTAAGTTATGATATATTTCAGGACAGTATATGGCTTATACCAAACTTGATGGCATGCATAATTTAAAATTAGCTAAGTTTGCAAAAGACAGAAATATCTGAAAATCTGCTAAGGAAAAATATATATCAGTCATAAATTAAATAGGTGTTAGCACCTACTTCATCTGCAGTGCAAAAAGTCACTGGTGCTCACAAATATTCAATTTTTGTAGGAATAAGAAAGCTGTAATGTGTAATAGCTTATTTTGTGCATATCATTTTAAAAAGCTCTTTAAAATAACCTAATTAAGGGTTATTTTTTATTAATTAAGGGATTTTTTACTCCACTTTTAAAAAAAAGTTATTTTGCTGTGGTTCACCATTATCTTAGACTGTCTTGGTAAATGCCTCCTGCTTCAGTGAAAAACACAAGATGTGTAAAAACATCAACATTTTATCAGGGAAAACTGATAGAGGTGCAAAGCTAGATGAAGGGAATGCAATCAGTGTGACAGGAATCTAGGACTTACTCCTAATTCGACAGAGCTGACAGCTGCAATTTTAGCAAATGGTAGTTTGGTAATCTTTGAATACTGATATAACAACCCAGGTTAGCTTGGTTGTTAAGGATTAGATAAAAGTCACTGTAATTCTACTTTTAGAAATTGAATGCTGCTGTGAAATCCCTGCTGGTTTTGTCTTCTCTTTTATAGTATTGATAGAAGTACTGATATAAATCACTTCAGATTTTCTGTTTGCCCCTAGTTCTTAAATGCAAGTTAAAAATCTATTTTTTTTTCTTTCCTTTTAAATCTATAACTTTATGCAGTGCTTATGAACGGACCAGGATCCTTTCCCTTTTCCCAAACTCCTAATGGCAGTGTGAGTGGAGTGTGAATGGCCAGAGAGGAACTGACAATGTCTGCCTTGATCTAAACTGTCACCTTCTGTCCTGAATACCTGGCTGCTGAGAGACAGCTTCCTCAGAATCTGCCCTTTTCTTCTTCACTGTCAGGCACTAACATATAACTACTTCTGTTTTCTCCTTTTCCCCCTAATGATCAAATTTTAAAATCTTTTTTTCCCATCTTGCTAGGGATTGACATTGATACCCTTCAGACTCCCCTGTTATCTCTCCTCTTAGTGCATACTTTTGGTTATTTCTCTAGTTCTCTTCTCTTTGCTGTGAAAGTAGCATCTCATAGACCCCAGAGCCACACTTAGGGGATGAAAAGAGAGTTGCCCAGTGTGCTTGCCAGAATTAAAAAAAAAAAAAAACAAGAGAGGGAAGAGTAAAATATCCTGACCTTCTCTGTCACATGGGTTGATGATACTATTTTCTTCCATATGCCAAGCAACATCAACCTGATTTCTGGTGAGTGACTTGTCTAGTTATCAGTACACTTTAAAGGTAGTGCTTTGTCACTTAAGGCTGTGCTGACTTCCAAATCTAAAAACCTGGTCAATTTTCAGAATGTTGGTGAACAAATTTGTGATATTAGCATCCAGAATGGTTGTAAAGTCCCACGTTATCCTATCATCATAGTAATCTCTTACATTCTCATCAGCTCTTTCTTCCCAGAAATAGGGATAGTAAATAATCAAGCTGAGGAATGCCACAATGGAGGTTTTCTTGGGAAACTGTTAGGACGTAACAAAAAACTGGGGATTATGTAGTTGAGCTTGGAAGGAGTATCAGATCCTGGGGAATGAAGATAAAAGGCTGATAGCTTTGTATTTTGGGTAAAGGTATTTTGTACCTGCTGTACAGGCATGCAACTCACACCAGTGTCAACAGGGGTTTAATGTATGGATTGAGAACACAGTATAGCCTGTGGGCTTGGTGTAGCACATCTATGAAATATGACTTAATCTTCCTTGCAATCAGCATGTGAAGAATTGAACTAGAAAGGGCTGGTTTTACTGGAATAACCACAGGGCATGAGCACCTTCTGGGTTTTCAGTTTTGTTTTGTTGTTCAAAATGTTTGCTTTAGGAGCCATGTTTGCCCATCAGTAAGTAACAATTTGAGCAAAGTAAAGAAGTTTGTCCCCTTAGGGTCCTTCTGTCCTCTTAATGTAGTGTATGTTCTGGACTGGAGGAGTGCATGACACAAAAGCATTAAAGTCAATGTGGCAGAGAGTAAAATGTCTTTCCCAGAGATGCTTATTTTCAGGCTCTCTCTTGTGAAATACAGATGCTCCTCTTCCAGCTCCAAATGCATTTCAGTGTCTAAGGGGTGTTAGTATGGATTTAGCTCACAGCCTGCATTATTTGGGGCCTTTGTCTAGACATGAAAAAATACATTTCTTTGCCTGAGCTGGATTCCTGCAAAAATTGAAGAACAAAAATTTGGCAGCCTTTCCTCAACAGGATCATATTTCCTGTGTGCTTTTTGGGTGTATTTTGCCATTTGCTGCTGGACTCATGTGGTGGCTCTGTGGGTAAAAAAGTCTCAGCATCCCAATGCCTGCATATTGCACAAAGGGGCTGCTGAGCTCTGTCTGCCCAGTCATGCCTCTGCATGGGCTCTCTTCCAGCCTCTGTCTGCAGAGGCAACTCTCTGCTTACACCAAATTTATCTGTCATTAGCAAACTCTGCATGGACATGATGATCTCTTTGGTACACAGAAGGGTGTTGGATGAAAGCCCAAGATGAATAGATTTTTCTTCAATATGAGGAATTGGATTTTATTTGGGATTTTGTTTTAAAGTTTACTTATGGATTTAAAGAAAGCATGGCAAGAGGGTCACAAATTGGATGTGATCAGGACAAGGAAATATCTCCTGAAGGTGGCTGATAATTTCCCCTGTAGAGGAAGGCTTCCTTTGGAGATGCTGTTTGTATTTGCTGTATCTAGTGTGTAAGAAAAACAAACATATATAAGATACACAAATGATAAGTATGTGCTTGCTTTGATTCTCAGAAACCTGAGCCAGCTGCCTTTTGCAGAATGTGGGGAAGGTTGTGAGGGGAACTGCAGCCCTTACTTGTGCAGTAGTGATGGTATCGGTCCCAGGCGACGGCTGCGCTGGAGCTAATGCTGGCCAGGGCTGTCAGGAAGCCATGGAACCCATGGATTTGACAGCCATCAGAGCCATAGGGCCAGTATCTGTCAACAAACAAGGAATATGTTAAGAAAATTATAGAGAAAGGTTATCCTATGTTTGGAAATTGCATTAACAGAGAGGGTAAAATGATACCCTGTGCTCCTCCTGTCTGAGAAACACTGTGAAAAATGTTACTGTGCTTGCTTTTAGGCATTTGCCAGCATTTTTCCTGCTGTGGTGTCTCTTACAGTACAACAGCTATTTGTACTTTTAATACTGAGAAGAAAATATAACCCTGCATCTGTGTATTGAAAAGTTGGGGTTTTTAAATTTGAAATCTGCGTTTCATCCAATTATCCAGATCTTCAAGATTTGCCTCCTTGTGAGGAGCCAATTTGTCAATGTGTGCAAGTCAGTGCAACGCAACAAACGGATAAAGACTTGCAGACAAATTTAGGGTCAATCTAGTGGTTTAGTGAAATGATACTTTGGTATTATAACTTCTATAACCACTGGTAAAGCTGTCTGGCTAAATGTCTTCTCTAGTCAGTGTTATAATCTGTCAGTGAGGATATGCAGTAAAATCTGCTTTGCTACTTGCCCAGAACCATGTAGGTTTTGTTTCATTGTTTTGGATTGAGGGAATGAGAAGTTTGGCTATGACTTATGGTAGAAAGAGAGCCATTTAAATAGTTAGACCTCTTAGAACTTAAGCTGTTAATTTTCATGTGGTTCTCCCGAGCATGCTTTGGGAAAACCTTTGTGCCATACCTGAGGAAGCTGGAGAAGGCAGCGATGAAGGCGTTGATGCAAATCCCGCAGTCGGCCAGGGCGATGCTGAGAACCAGCAGATTGCTGGGCGTTCGCAGCTCTTTGATTTTTCGGAAAGAAATGATTGTCAAGCCATTCAGACAGAAACCAAGCAGGGCTGAAAGACAGAATTGTTTGGTGTGATTCAAGTGGAAATTGAAAATAACTACAATGATACTGCTGTTTTCTTTGGTGAGAGAGCAATAATTACAGTGGAATCTTATGCACAGGGAATAGATCTGTAGTGGTCAGTCTGCACGCAAGTTACAAAGGCTTTCAGAAGAGAAGTTAGAGGTGACAGCTCAAGCCAGTGCTTCAGACTTCTTCATTCATGTGGAGCAGAAGCAGTTTGATCTTATTTGTAATTCTGCCTTTTGTTATAGTAAGAGAAACTGGATTGTCAGGCTCCATGCAGGGACACATGGTTCAGGGCTCAGAGCAAGTGAGATGCAGAGGAGGCAGTTTCAAGAGAGCTGACATCCAGCACATGCTGTTGCTGTACACATGTCCAGGCCCAACTTTGGTAGAAAAATGGTTTGTATTTAATATCCATTGTAACATTCCTTTTTGGTTAAGCACAGAAATCCCTCAGCCATGTTTCAGTCAGCCTGCCTCTCTTTGGGCTTTTGTCTCAGAGTAGCCTACACAGTGCTTGAATTACACCAGCTCAATCTTATTACTGTCCCTCGTCAAGAGACTATACATGGAAAGGAATAATCTAATTATGAGGAGCAGTCACTGATAGATTTAAAAAAATAAGTTTATGTTGTTCCTCAGAGAGGGATCCAAGCAACCCGAGCCATTCACCCAGCACAGAGCTGTGCCACTCTGAAGCCCATCTGGTTTAAACTCAAGCTTTGTCCTTTAATGCCCTTTTGAAGGCGACCTGAATTAGTTTAGCTCTGATGAGGATCTGACTCAACGTCCAGTCTCTAAGTCTCAGTTAGATGAGAGGTACTGTGTCTTTGTGTTCTTCTTGGAAAAAGAAATGCTGTAGCACAGAAAAAATTCATATCCCCTAATTCTGTAAAGTAGTGCAGTTACTTATGCTTATTGTCTTAATTCTGCAGTTACATAAGATGGATGATTTTTTTCTAGTCAGAAATCCTGCTTCTACCTTAATTGCATTAATGGCTGATGGCATAACCATAGTAACAGCTGATGTGTGTCTATCATTGCACAATATATAACAAAATATTTCCAGGAGAAATATTTGGAGCTATTTGAGATCTGCTGTTTTTATTTCCTCCCTGCCAGATTACCTCCCACCCACAGGGTAAAACTGCTGTTAACTCTCTCAAATGCAGAGAAGCCTTTAGGAGAGATGTGTTCTGAGCATATTTGGAATAGAGCTGAAGAGTTATTACTATATCAGATTTTTTTTCTATCTTTTCCCTCTTTTTGGAAGCCTCAGGCTTTACCAGATTCTGCTTTCTTGAAGGTCAGCATGAGTGTACAAATAGAGAACTTACTAATTTTTTTAAGAAAGCGTTGAGTTTTCATTTTTAAATCAGCAAATATGTTCACTTAATAAAGTGAATGCAACTCTTCACCACAACCTTTCTTTGCAAGCTGCACGTAGAAGCTGCCATAAGGAAGGGAGAAGTCTTCATCACCTTTGTCTCAGAGTGTTTCAGAAAGTAAATTGTTCCTTGATTGTTTAGCTTGGTCTTCTAACCTAGATGACAATAACAAAGTTTTACTGCCAATCTACTGGGCACATTCTGCCTAAAACCCCATGGGAAATACTTATGCTTAGTAAACCATAAATGTGTTAAACTACACCTAGTTTTGACTGAAGGTTGCCATGGGGCTCTTTGCTGGAACTTCCCCAGCTGCAGGACCCTGGAAGGCTGCAGCCCCCAGCACGGGTCAGGGCTGGCAGGGCTGTGGTGCCATGAGCAGGTCCCCAGCAGGACCCAGCTCTGCCAGGCCCCAGCAGTGTCCCTGTCCTCCTGCTGCTTCCCCTCTCAGGATGGGAGTGCAGGTGCTGCCAGGCTGTGCACATGGCTCGGGGACTGTGGGCCAGGCTTAGCCCTGTTTAGGCAGCAGCCTGCCCCTGGGCAAGAGGGAGAAGCTTTTCCCCCTCTCTTCCAAGGAAGTGTCTGACAGAATTTCCAGCTTTCCTTTGCAGCCAGCTATGACCTTAGGTGCAAGGCAAAGGTGAGCACCCGTGCTCCATGTTCATGGGGTGAGCTAACGAGCGTTTATCCCACTCTGAGGGTGCTCACAGCTTCTCCTCCTCTGCTGTTGGGCCCCACAATTCCCACATCCCCCTCTGATCAGCACTATGCAGAAATGGGATCCCAGGCCCTGGGACTGACACCGACATTATCCTAGCTATGAGCCTGTGCTAGCTGCCAGGTAGATATAAATTCACAGTTTTGTTGCAGTCTCTCAATAAGGGGAATATGCCTTAAGAAAAGATCACACTGGCTAAATTAAATTGATACGGTTTATTACTTTTACCCAGCAGCCATTAATTGCAGTGCTACCAATGCAGTCTGCATGTATGCTAACAGTTTACAGGTTTTTTTGGAGCTATCATGTTTGATTGTAAAACAGCCATCACAACCCACAAAACAAGCAGTCCAATTTTATTGAGAGATTATCAGTCATTTCAACTTCTTTCCCCAGAGGAAGTTAAAATTGTCTTTAAAAGTCAACAACAAAATATTACATCCCAAATTCCTGAGAAGAGAGCTGAGTAGCAAGTACTTCACTGCCACAGCTATGCATAGAGTGCAGATCTTCACAGCAAAGAACTTGCAGCTCTTCCTGATTTACTCACCAGAAGTCCTGGTGATGTAGCCACAGTAACTAGAGTCAGCATACCACAAATGCTGTTGTTCATTTCAATTTTCCTTCCCCCCTCTTACCAGAAATAATAGGAGGGAAAAAAAAATCTTCTTGATGCTGAGGCCCCACACCAAACTTACCTTCTACCAGCAGGGCAGTACCAATGGCAACTGGTGATATAGCCACAGTAACCAGGGTCAGCATACCACAAATGCTGCTGTTCACTTCAATTTTCCTTCCCCCCTCTTACTAGAAATAATAGGAGGGAAAAAAAAAGTCTTCTTGATGCCGAGGCCCCACACCAAACTTACCTTCTACCAGCAGGGCAGTACCAATGGCAAACACTTCTATTTCAGTGAAGCCTTCAGGGAGAGGGTGTGCAGTGACCATTCTTATGGTAAATATGCCAAAAGATTTAACCTCTGCCCTCTGTTATAGCTGTGGGGCTGCCTTTTCTCTGGATCTCTCTACTTCAGTAGCCCAAGGCTTCTTAAAGGAGCAGCTCACGTGCAAACACATGCTGTTATTATATAAAAGCTTTGGGGTTTTTACTCCCACCACTACAATCCCTGCAGGAATGTTATTAATGATGGGACTAGCATCAACCCGCACTCCCCCTTCCCCTGCAAATCGTATTTCAGACACCAGCAAAATGAAAGCATTCATGGCAATTACAACAAGTTCTTTGTAGACACAAGATTAAGAAACCTGTCCAGTTAATTTTGCAACACTGGAAAAGAATTAAATGTTGTGGAACAAAGGAAACATGTAATTGGGGAGTGACCTGAAAAACAAAGGGGCACTCATTGAGTTGATAATTAGAGGAAAAGTATGAACCAATAATTTCTGCAGCTTGTAGATCTTCCCCTCACCCATTTTTTTAGAAACTGGCCAATATATTTTTCTGGCAATGACTGTTCTCTATATTAACATATTTCCTTTTTGTAACTGAGGCTTAAATTAATATGCACAGTGGCACAGCTTGATTAAAGACAAACACAAATTACTGATTTGGGGCCCTAAACATACAAGGACATGAGTGAGTTGCTCAGTGGTGAGCACCCACAGGAATCATCTTACTGTTCTTTTGGAGATGTTTGGGGACAGGAGACTGGGTGCACAGTGGCTCTGGAGTATGTGCAGCCTGCAGCTTGTCCAACCTCCAGGTCATTGCTTTAACAAGATGCCACTAGCATGATAGTTGCTTCTTTGATATGTAACTTTCTTCATCCTGATGATCCTACTACAAAATGTGAGCAGAAAGGGATATGAGCACAGGGGATATGAGCTTCCACCAGCTCAGGCCCCACACTGTGCTGACCTGGCTCCCTGTTGATTGAGGTCTCAGGCAGAGTGAATTCACTCCAGATGCCACCAGAGCTTGCTCAGCTCTCCTGACTATATGGTGAAGTGTACATTTCAGGGGTGCATTTACAATCAGGGGTGTTGGTTGAAGATGGTGGATTTTTTGCAGTTTTCCTGAAATCTGTGCTTAAAGGCTGTGATGCCCAGGAGAACTGATTAGAGCTTCAAGGCTGCTGTGAAACCATCTTGCTGAGTTTTTTTGATCTCTGGTATTCAATTTACAGCTCTTTTTGATGCAGGTAATTGCCTTGATGGATATGCTCTTAGATTTTAAAGTAGAATTCAGGAGGGTATGATGTTTGTTAGGCTATACAGATATTTGGTTTAAGCTGAGTAAAATTACATTGCACCACATAAATCCATTGTTATGTTTGCCTTTCATTCACCTACATGTCTTGATGACAAAGAAGGTGACAGTCCTGCCTCCCAGCATGGCAAATGAATGACATAAACCTGTGTTTTAATAGTGATCCATTGTATGTTCTTGCAAAAAAATTAGTGCTAGATCTTGTAAATGTGCTGTAAGTCTTCCTAGTGTGATAGTTCTGAAAATGGATGGCTCATTGTAATGCTTGTCAACATAAACCTGCACAGCTCTTCTAGACGGGGATAAAGGACACAGATATTTGAACTGCCCTCCTGAGGCCTGTCAGGTACTTTTGGTTGCCTGCCACTGTACTTCACCTTCACTCCCAGGCAAATCTCCCAGATGTGTTACACTGCTGGTAGTTTTTGTGGAGTGTATTAAAGTCTGTGGGGCAAACTTTGCTCATTCCAATACTATTTCTTCCATGAAAGCAGGCTACTACCCCAGTCCCCCTGGATTTCAGAGACCTTTATTAGAATGATTATTTTTAACTTGTTGACTGCTTTTCTTTAAGTATCTTAACAATTTCCATGTCTAAGTCTCATTTAATTTATCAGTGCAGAGTCTAATTACACAAGTCAGTCATAGGCAAACTTTCCAGTGGCAGTTCAGCATCTGACTCAAGTGAAATTCATGTAAACAGAAACTTCCTGCATCAGTCTCTTAACTCCTTTGCTGATGCTGTGTTGACTTTCTAAGGGTATGTTGAGATAGTGTGGAATGATATATGGTCCAATATGGCTGCTAACTTCAGTTATAAATTCAGCTTGTAAATGGTTTTCTTCAAGCAAAGAGGAGGTGCAAATAAGGAATAAATTACTGACTTTGATAGAATCTTCTAATGATAGCTCTTTTTCCAGTTGGTAAAACAAAGCTGCATTCATTTCCTTTCTGTCCTTTTTATGTAAGATGTAACTTCACATCGTGTATTCCTGTGAAGTCAGGGATAACATGCAAATGATGACTGGTTTGCAAAGACACTCATTAACTCCTTAGTGATGAAGTTTTTTGTGATGCTTTTCTATTTTATGCACTCTTTCAATAGCTACTTGCTCTTTCCAAATTGAGGGGGAAAGGTCTTTTGCTCAACCTGATGTTATCTTAGAACTTCATCATTTGAATTCCACTGATCTCCTTTCTGCATCAATAACGGATCCATTTCCTTTTAGCCTCTCACTGAAGAATATTTCACTGGTTACTAATCTGTTTGCAAGGAATACACAGAAAAAATATATGATAGTTTCTTGCCAGATGTCCCTGTGGTTTTCATAGAACTGTGTATATATTTGGTGGGAGCATATTAATCTTTGTAAAATATGCATTGGTACAAGCACAACAAAAAAAGGTGCAGTGCAAAGATAACAGAGTGCTCATGCACTCTGAATTTTCTTCAAGCAATCAATGCAGATTACTGACACAGTATTTTATATTCACAGCAAGAACTTTGCTAAATTGATGTGTTATTATTCCTCTGCCTTCCTAATCCTTTCTTCTGATTCAAGTTTAGCCAAATTTGACTTTTTATGTTGAAATATGCCTTTAAATGAAAAATGGCAGGATTTCAGCAGAAGCAGGCTGGGAATGCAGTCACCCAGAACTGCAGTTTGGTATCACTGAAATGAGTGGTAATCTTGGTCCTCATGGGAAAGGCTTCTTGCCAAAGAAGGAAACAGAAAGTGTATTGTCTGGAGACCTTCTGGTTGCAGTTGTGTAAATTTGTTTCAGTTTGGTAGGGGTGGTAGGGAATATGACCCAGATTGTAAATAGGCACCTGGTGCTGGCCTTAGGAGGGATGATGCAGGGAAAAAGTCATCACACCAGGGTGTGCACGGGCATCAGCCCTTTGGAAATGCCTGCAGCCACTCAATAACCCTTCTCCTCAACAGTCTGTAAAACACAGTATAGCACTCTGCTCAGTCTGATTTTCCCTGCAGTTGTGTCAGAGCTGTTGAAGGAAGATGTAGTGGTGGAGGCCTGGGCAGGGCCAAGGGTTCTGGGGAAGGCAGGAGCCAGTGGCTGTGCTTTGGGGAGTGAGCGTGGCAGCCCCAGGAGTGGTGGGGAGAGTGCAAGGGACCCAGGGCAGGATGGGGGCCAGGGGTGGAGGTGCTGTCTGTGCAGAGGAAGGTGGAGGAAAGGGCTCACTTGCAAGTACAGAGAAAACATCAAGGTCAGGGATAATATCTGGGGAAAGCTCCTTGGCCATGTTGAGCAAAAATGAAGGAGCTGTAAACTTGGTGGGAAGTAAGAAAGCCAGGAGGGGCAGCTTCAGAGTCAGAGCCAGAGCAGTGCTGTGTAAAAGACTCTTCAGAAGAGGACACAGATCCCCCTGCTCCCCAAATATCACACATTAGCTCTGTGATTGGCTCCATGAGGATGCAACACTTGGGACTAGGCAGCACTGGGACTGGCTTTCCTGCCTGCTGTTGCACCTCAGTCTTTCAAGAGTCAGAGCTTCCTGTAGAGCTGGGAAGCATTGCCTCTACTGTTTGAGTTACCTCTCCAGATACAGGTAGCTTAATTCATAGTAAATTGAATATATAATTAATAAATATATATGTATATCCACCCAGGCTAGAAAATTAATAAAGTTACTAGAACATGTATTGCATCCCAGATTTCTTAGTCTTTGCTGGATGTACCAATCATGATGGTTATCAAATATGTATAATTTTTGCCCTTGTCTGTTACCCATCCCTCAAAATGCAATTTAGACACCTTTCTATCAGTTAGCCTGCTAGTTTTAGAGTCAAACACACATTCACAGTATAATGAGATATGCTATCTCTCTCTGATGAATGGTGACTTATTTCAGGACTTTGAAGGAGAAGGCAGTCCTACAGAATGCAGGATGTACCTAACACTGGTAGTGTATTTCCCCCTTGGTGTTGAGACCTTCCCACTGCAGAGGAATAACTCCTCCAGGGATTACAGTTCAAAGACCAGTACCCAGTTATCAAAAAACCCTCTGCTTGCAAGAGGGGCTTTAGTTGTATTAAGAGAGGATTTGCACACCAGTTCTCCTATTTATTATTGCTCTTGTAAGGAAGAAACATGATTGTCCCTGAACCATTTCTCATGAGTCTATGCTACTGACCATGTATGTAGATGAACTTCTAGACCACATATGACACATAATTCCTAACACTGCAGTATTGTATATCTTGTCTCAGCAGTCTTCTACCGGTGTCTGTGTGTCGCGATTTCCCCAAACTTCCTGCTGATATTTCCCTCACAAACATTACTTTAGCCTGAATTCTGCATAGCTTTCCTCAAATTCTGTGTATGATCTGTGCTTACTTTTAGAGGGATTAATCACATCTAAAATTTTTCTCATATAAAACCCAAATGTGTTAATTATTTAGTTTAAGCTAGGCTTTTGTTTACTGTTACTGGATGGAATGGTCAAAGAATAACATAAAGAAATACACAAGGTAAAAACTTTCCTTTTCTCACTCTTTGTACTTTTTTTTTTGGTTGTTTTGTTTTGCTTTGTTTAGCTTTGTTTTTCCAAATATTTTCTTGGCCTCTGTAAGACTTGCAGCTTCCAAGAAGTTTACTAGAACTGCCACAAAGGTATGCAAAATCTCGGAGCTGTATTCAGGTAAATCAGAGTAGGAAAGCCAGTGACTGTCAGACTGCCAAGAGGGCAGAGGGTTGCTGTGTAAAACACTGTGCTTGCTCCATCTGCATTCAGGAGCCAGATAAACAATGCTGGGAGTTCTTGCATGCCTGAAGAAGCAAAATAAAACAGTC